CATCTTTGTCGCATCTTGGTGGCGAATGTCACAGCTCCTACGGCCCTCAAACGCCCGCCCTTAAGAGCCTCTTTAGACAAAGAGTCAACGGAACAAGTCTCTCTCTCTCTCCCTCTTTCTCTATATCTCAGTCTTTGTCTCTGTTTCGGTGCGATTGTATTTGTAGTTTGTGTGTGGCATGCAAGAAGATTGATTTCAGCTCGATATTATTGTTAGACGAGTACGCTCTCTCATACGTCAAGGAGTATTGACTGTGGGCAGAGAGCTGGTTTATCTCTGTGTGTGTGTGTGTGAGTAAAAAGCTTTGGTTAGGCCTATTTTGATTGATAATCAAAAATGTATCGATAAGTTGAACATGTAAAATGCATTGAAGCATCGATTATTGGTTTTATCGACAGCAGCCTTTAAATACCTATCGAAGAGTTAGTTATCGATAACCATGCTTAGCAAATATATGGCTGTTATCGTTCGCTTTTTATCGAAGCGCTTATCGATAAAAGTGAAGCTATATAAATATATTAGAAACAACTTATCGTTTTCCTAACTATCGATAATGAAGCTTAGCAAAGAGGTGGCTGTTATCGATATATGTAAAGTTATCAATATAATTATAAACGACTTATCGAATAGTTAGTTATCGATAACCTTGCTTAGCAAACATGTTATTTACGTTCGTTTTTTGTCAAAGTGTTTATCGATAAAAGTGCAGCAATTAAATAAACATATTTAGAAATGATATCGAATCGTTAACTATCGATGACCTTAGTTAGCTGTTATCGTTCGCCTTTTAGAGTAAATATAATCCACCTCTATATGGATTCCACACATTCCCAGCTAAATTATCTAATCGTATTCTTAGTACATGTCGAGTTAGTCGTGTTCCTCTTAACTCTGGCTGTTTTCGCTCATTGCATACAAATACGAGGAAAATCCCACAAATCACTTGGTTAATCTTTGTTTTTGCAAATGCCCCTAAAACGAAGACATTTCCGCTGTGAGCAATCGCTTTCTGGAGTAACTGCCGCATCAATTATCGCTGTCGCATTGTCGCATTGTCGCTGATATTTCATCAAGAGCAACATCTTCGTCTTCTTCTTCTTCATCATTATTTGCTAATCGGGCACATATACATATGGCATATACGCTTTATCTGGGCCATTTAAGATCCATCGGCCGTTTCGCTGTAAAAAGTTGAAGACAAATCTCGAACGCAAACTTGGCTAAACAAGTTCGCTGAATATGAAAAACAAAAGAACGTAGAAAAACCTTCTGCCTGCTGCTTATCTAAAGAAATTGATAAGAGAACTGCGATAAAAAGTGACACCAAAAATTGTCCCATAAGTTGAGGCCAATAAATAAAAGAAAGAACGCCAAAGTCGATCTACAGATACCCTGTAGCTCTCAGTTAATATACTATTTCGGTTTGCAGTACCGCTCTTCGAATTGTTTCAATTGTAAAATATTTTAAATTTCAATTATATATCCTTCTTTGCATTTGCATACATTTGCAGTATACCCTCTTTTGCCCATGCTTAACATTTACAGGGTAAAGAAAGCCTAACCAGCTTTTGAGTCAAAACAATCGAAGGCCCTGAAGGAACGCCTAAAATATACGCGTTGATAAGCAACAAACCAAAAGAAAACGGGGTAAAAATGGTTATAAAAAAAAAAAACCACAACCAAGAAGAATTGTGAGCAGAAACGAAAGCAAAGACAGCAACAGGTTGAAGCACAAACGAACAAAAAATAAAGGGAAAAAAAACAGAAACAGAAAAAACCCAAAGACGAAACATTTGGTTTGCCGCTGGGCAGAACTTTGCCAAAGAGGCGAAATTTAATAGAAGGTGAAATTATATAAAAGCTGAATTAAAAAAGAAGAAGCTAATCGAATCGTACAATATTTGTAGAAAGCAAATAATATTACTAATAAATATGTATGTGTGTATGTATGTATTACCTTGTCCGTTGATACAGCGAAAGCTCTTGCATGAGAGAAAGAAGTCGCGATTGAACGATATTTAGAATCTTTATATATTATGGATGTTTGTGTTGAGTTTTAAGCAAAAAAAAAATAGCTAAAAACTCGGACTTTTTGGCAATTATGGAAAGCCTATCCTGTTTGCCTTATATACATATATACTTATACTTAGACCTATACTTATACTTTACTTACACTTACACTTATACGTACACCTACACTTATACGTAAACTTATACTTATACTTATACTTATACTTATACTTATACTTATACTTATACTTATACTTATACTTATACTCATACTCATACTTATACTTATACTTATACTTATACTTATACTCATACTCATACTCATACTTATACTTATACTTATACTTATACTCATACTTATACTCATACTCATACTCATACTCATACTCATACTTATACTTATACTTATACTTATACTTATACTTATACTTATACTTATACTTATACTTATACTTATACTTATACTTATACTTATACTTATACTTATACTTATACTTATACTTATACTTATACTTATACTTATACTTATACTTATACTTATACTTATACTTATACTTATACTTATACTTATACTTATACTTATACTTATACTTATACTTATACTTATACTTATACTTATACTTATACTTATACTTATACTTATACTTATACTTATACTTATACTTATACTTATACTTATACTTATACTTATACGTATACTTATACTTATACTTATACTTATACTTATACTTATACTTATACTTATACTTATACTTATACTTATACTTATACTTATACTTATACTTATACTTATACTTATACTTATACTTATACTTATACTTATACTTATACTTATACTTATACTTATACTTATACTTATACTTATACTATACTTATACTTATACTTATACTTATACTTATACTTATACTTATACTTATACTTATACTTATACTTATACTTATACTTATACTTATACTTATACTTATACTTATACTTATACTATACTTATACTTATACTTATACTTATACTTATACTTATACTTATACTTATACTTATACTTATACTTATACTTATACTTATACTTATACTTATACTTATACTTATATACTTTTATATTTATACGTACATGCACAGGTATATATTCATGTTGGTAGCATTTAGCGTAATTAGCAATTTACGCGCAGCTGTTTAATATAATTAACAAATGTTACGTGCGACACAGCTGTTTCGAAAATGCTTTTCAAAAACTAAATAAAATTAAATAAAATCCAAAGTATGTTGATTTTGCCATTTTATTCTTATTTTGAAAACCAATAAAGTTGAAACAATTTTAGGAGTATCAAGTATTCAAAGCGGCATTGTCAAAAATATATATTTTCTATATTAAAATCCATTAGCTTTTTTTTCTTAAAGAAAGCTCTAGAAACTTCAAATAAAACAAAAAATGATTCTATTTAAACATATCTAGATTTTCGATAGCAATCGCGTGGCAAGGAATCACATATGTATGTACATACAAAATGTACAAATGTACAATGTTAGTAAAAACAACAACAAATGCGAAGATACGCTTTTTCAGTTTACGGTGAGTGTGACCAAAAATGATGCTCTTCTTCTTCTACATGTATACACGCGTATGTGTATATGTATATATAATATTAGGTTGCGCGCTTGCGAAATCAATGCATCGATAGCTGATAAAATTGTTTGCCTGGGGCTTATCAGCAGCTCCAAAGCCGCACGAGCTGTAGATAAAGACAGCTGCGAACATGCTTGTCTGTCCATCTATTGTCTCAGCTTCTTCTTCTTCTTCTGCTTCTTGGTGCTGTTGCTGTTCTAAACTTGAAAGAGAGAGAGAGAGAGCTTCATGCAAAGATCGCAAACGAAGCGAAGCGAAGCGAACGACCTTCACAGTCAGTCAGTCCACTTGGGCTGCATCTTCTGCTTCTTCTTCTTCGTTTATTTTCTAGTGTACAAAGTAATAAGAACTGAAAAAAGAGTGGGGCAGATTGACACGGACAGGCGTCGTCTCAAGTGGCAATGTCGCTCCTTATACGCTCTCTCTCTCTCTCGCTCGCTTCATTTCAGTTGTCAGAATAGTTATGAATTTCAGAAAGAGGGGGGGGGGGGGGGGGGGGGGGGGGGGGGGGAGAGAGAGAAGGTCAGGAGCAACAACTAGGAAGCTGCTGCTGCTTCTGCTGCGGAAACACAAGCACAACTGTATGAGAAGACAAGGCAGGCGAAATATTTATGCAAATTGGAGTTGGGGAGACGCGACGAGACGATTTTGAATAAAAACCAAATAAAAACTAATGAGCAAACTGCTGCCACTGATGATGGAACGGAAAGCGGAAAAGGTATAAAGCTAAATGCAAAACAAATTATAATGAAAAAACGAGCAAAAATGCAAATCTAGCAGAAAAGGTTGCCAGACTGCTGTCGCGGACTAAGGGCAGCAGCAAAACAGCAGCAGTGCGAGCGAGAGCGAGAGAATCGAACAAAATGCAAGGCGAAGGCGAAATGAATGCAAAATGAAGCACGAGGGTCACTCGGCGACGGCGGCAAACGGGAACAGCTGCTATGTGGTGTTGGTGCTAAGGCAAATGCCACAAAGGGCAGGCAAAGACAGCAACAATGATAACAACAACGGCGCAAGAGAGTGCCCAATGCAAGTTTTTGTGCACATGTGCGCCTGTATGTGTGCAAAGTAGAAGCTCACACACACACACACACACACACATACAGACAAAACAAGTTTTTTGACTTGCTGCTGCTGCCGCGGCGCCTGCGCAGAAGATTTCGGTTTTCAACAAAAAAAACTAAAAAAAAGGAAAAATAAAAAAAAAAGCAACTGACTGCTGACTGACTTTCTTTAAGCATTTTTGTGCTTGTCGCTGGACATGTTGCAGACGCAGTTTTCGCTTTTTTGGCAACTTTTCGAGGCAGCAGCGGCAGTCGCAGCGAAATAAGAAGAAGCAAACACGTTTTATGCTCCGGTTTCTCACTCACCTGGCAAACGGCGTCTGTTCCACCTCGTAGATCTCGTTGATGTCATGCGACACAAGTAATCCCTTCAAGCGTTTGGCATCAACGTCCAGCAGGCCATCGCCTATGGGAAAGATGCCCTCCTCGGTAAACATGTTTCAAGCTGCAGCTGCTCTCGTTCTCTCTCTCTCTCTCTCTCTCTTCACACACGCACGAACACTTTTTTTTTTATTTTTTTTTAGATCTTTCGTCTTTTTTTTTCGTTTAGGCTTTTTCTTGTTTTAGTTTAAAATTGTTTTATTTAGGGGGCGGCAGGGGCGGGGAGAGACTGTATTGCAGTTGGGGTTGCGTTGAGACGACGGCGCGAAATTTAAACTGTGGCACATACAGAAAACAACAATAATATATACAATAATTAAATATGTTTGCTAACAAAACAAAAAGGAAAACAACAAAACGTAAATGTAAATAACAACACACAAGAGTCGCGCGCGCGCTTTTCGCCAAGCTTTGGTCACACTGCCCGCATTAGCAGCAGCAGCAGCAGCATCAGTAATAAAAGAAAAACAGAAGCCGAGAAATTCCAGCGCCCTTTTAAGCTGCGCTGCCGACGTCGCAAATGCAACAGCCTGTTAGTTGAAGCGTGACAGCACTAGGGATGCTGTTGCTGCAGCCAAACTATGCAGGTCCAACTATAGCAGCGGCAGCAGCGACAGCGACAGCGACAACAGTCACGGAAATTTCTTGGCTGTTTTTGCTGTTGTTTTGTAGTTTTCGATTTGCCTGTTATTTGATTTTATATTTGTTTGTTGATTTTTTTTTTTTGTTTGAAATGTTAAGACCATTTAAATTAGAATTGAATGCGCGGCACACGCATTACAATTTCACACAACACACACAACACGTTTTACGTTACTTTGTCAATGCTGCGCTGGCTGTTGTATTTGTGTCTGTATCTAAGTATGTGTGTTGTGTGTGTATGTATATGCTCAATGCTGGTTGTGTTGGTGTATACACCGTCGTGTTCTGCCAACTTCGGCGGCGGCAGCGCAGCTCACAGCAACTTCTTGCTGCTGCTTGAATTGAGTGTGTGTACGTGTGTCCAACTTTGCACAAAAAAAAAATATAAAAAAAACACACACAAGAATTAAATAATTGAAATGCTAATGCTGTTGGATTTTAGCAAATACAACTCGTAATTAAAATATTTAAATATTATTCGAACACGAAGCGCGGAATAAACGCATAGAAAAAAAATTGGTGTTACAGCGCACATTCGATTTGTTAAATAATTTGAATTTGTACCACAATAAGCACACACTCACACTCAAACAAACAAATAAATAAACTCGTGGTAGTCGGTAGAGTTCAGTTAGTAAACGACAAATAACAGTCACAAACCCAGCGCACACATAAACCAGGCCACAACGATTTCAATTCACAATTAAGCGCACCGAGCGTCACACGTCCGCCTCGTTCGGTTTTGTTATTGCTTCTGAATATCGATGACAAATTGGTTGTAATGGCGCGTATAATCGATAGCAGTATTTTGTTAACAGCTGTTAGTACGCTGTTAACTGCAAAACTAATATATCGGTTGCTGCGCTTGTGAAACATTTATCAATGTCTAATGTCAAGCACCAGGCGACATTGAAATTGTAAAAAATGTTGCACGCATTGCTGTTGTTTTTGTAACGCATGGCACTGAATTTAAATAGATTTCTAAAAAAATTATACTATCGTACTCAAACTGGCACTGTTAACAATGAACGCACAGCTGACTTAACATAACGATAGCAAAACATTTTTGATTAAATGAAACGCATGCGTGCCAACCTGCTGCACTTTTCCCGCTCGACTCGGCAAATAGCAACTCTGCGCTTAAGTCCGGCCGCGGGCTCGGCTTGAAAATTTCAAAATAGTTATTGAAAAAGAGAAGCGAAATGAGAACAAGCAGCGATCACGCTACACACTTGACGGAATCTTGACACGCAATGGACATTGGGCGCTGGCCTAAACATAGCCCAGCAGCCGCCACTTTAGTGCTCTTGGCGCCGCCTATAAATTCTTAATTTAGACATTTGCATTATGTTTATATTCATGTATGCTGCTGCTGCTGCATGCGGCATGTGCGTGTGTCTGTCTGCGTGCTCCACTTGCACGCTGCATTTTCATGAGCAACCTCCCCAGCCCGGCACCCGGCCCCGCGTGTGCCCGCCCAGCAGTTGCGTGTATTTTTGTCAACGCCTCTCTGGCCAGGCCAGGCCAGGCCGGGAAAGACATCGGCGCTGGCATCTCAGGAATGCGTCGCTGCCAAAAATAGACAAGCCAAGTGCAAAAACCTTTTCAGCATTAGCCGGGCCGCATTAGTCGCATTGCCTCATAGATTTATGCAATTTTATTAATAGAGCCGCGCAATTTGCAGCACCTTTGCCCAAAAGCCGGCATGTGGATGAACGGATAGAGATGCGCGCACACACACACACACACACACACACGTTGGTGCGCTGAACTCTAAACGCAACGAACTTTGGCCAGCTATAAATAGGATGCACTGCATCATGCCGCCAAATGTCGCAACGGCAATTGCCAAGTTTACCAGATCCGGCATTTGATCTACGCACCGCAACGGAATGCTGCTGCCTCCGCCCGTAACTAGATGCCAGGCACGACAACAATAATGATGGCCAATTGGTTGCCTCAGTCCGCGCAATAAGTACATTGTGGCCCAGCCGCCGCCTCATCGCCGCTATCCCCATCGTTGCCACCGCTGCCTCCAGCAGCAGTGCCGCCTCCAGCGGCAGCGCCATCGCCGCCATCGCCACTGCCACGGTAATCATCGATAATGTTCTGCAGCTCCTCCTGGGCATCGGTGAATTCGCGTTCCTCCATGCCCTCGCCGGTGTACCAATGCAGATGAGCCTTGCGGCGCAGCATAATGCAGGAGCCGTCCAGCAGACGCTGGAACAGAGTCTGAATTGCCGTCGTGTTGCCAATGAACGTGGCAGACATCTTGAGGCCACGCGGCGGTATATCACAGATGGCCGTCTTGATGTTGTTCGGTATCCAATCGACAAAGTTGTGCAGATTCTTGTTGCGTACCCCCGTCATCAGTTGGTCGACCTCGCGCGGCGACATTCTGCCGCGAAAGATGCCGGCGGCCGTTAGCAGCTTGCCCTTGCGCAAATCGATCGCGCACAACAGATTGTTGCTGGAGAAGATCTGCTGCACCAGCTCGGAGACGGTGCCCTTGCTAAACTGTTGCTGCTTGCAGGTGACCAGCGGCGCAAAGCCCGGTATGAGAAAGTGCAGCCGTGGAAATGGCACCATGTTCACATAGATCTTGCGCAGGCCCGCATTCAGCTGGCCGGGAAAGCGCAGACAGGTGGTTATGCCGGACATGGTCAAGGCCACAATATGATTGATATGCTCATAGCCGGACATTTGTATTTTCAAATTGCGATTGCAGATCTGAAAGAGCGCCTCGTTGTCCAGGCAAAAGGTCAAATGCGAGTTGTTCACCAGCGCCGGAATGCTGAGCAGCGCATTGTATGGCTCTACCACCACCTGGGACATGTTCGGTGACGGTATGGTCACATAGTTGCACAGCAGATTGTCCGGATACTGTTCGACCAGCGCCTCCATGATCAGGGATGTCAGGCCGGAGCCGGTGCCGCCGCCAATCGAATGGAGCAGCTGAAAGCCCTGCAGCGAGTCCACGGATTCGACCTCGCGTCGCGTATTGTCCAGCACCTGGTCGAGTATTTCGGCACCGTCGGTATGATAGCCGCGCGCAAAATTATTGCCGGCACTCTCCGAGCCGGCGACAAAGTTTTCCGGCCTGTACAGCTGGCTGCTGGCATTCAGGCGCTGTATGGTGCTCGCCTCCGTGTCGATGATGATGGTCCGTGCATAGAATCTCTTGCTGGCCGTTGCATTGAAGAACACATTGATGCGTTCCAATTGCAGTGGGCTGGTGCCGCCAAAATGCCCGGATGCGTAGTCCACGCCGTGCTCGTGCGAGATCACATGCCAGAACTGCGTGTGTGTGGGAGTGCGACACTCTGGATGAGATCCTATGCTGGCCAACTGACCTGAGGTGAGCTACTCACCGCATCGCCAATGGCATTGCCGGCGCCGCCGATCTGCAGCGTCACAATCTCTCGCATTCCACACGCCCGCTCTCCACGCTCTGCTGCACTTGTGACGGACTCTTTTTTTCTCTTTATTCATAAATTTTTGACAATTAAATTTTGATGGTTGTTCTTGGCCGAAAGTTGTTGTGTTTTGGAATACTGGCTATGCGAGCATCATGCTGTGGCTTCACGGTTTCATCCACAGTCTTTTCCACAAGCTCTCCAAATGCTACGGAATAAGCAACAAACGATTCCCAGCCCAAAACTATTTGCCAAGCCGCCTTCGATCGGCCCACACGCGACGAGCTCGGTGTCGTGACACGAAATAACGCGTCGTGTCGTGTAGGTTTCTCACGTACATATATATAGTTCTATGCATGTAACATACAGAGCCTTGCTACAGAGCCTTGCACATCCAGAAATTGATTGGGGACCGATTTGAAGCGAACTGCGTGACACGAAACGATGGCAAATGTCGTGACACGCTGCAACCGAAACTCGTGTCACGCGCGGGCGTTAGTCAAAGATTTGCGTATTTACTACAATTAATTTAATGAGAGTGAAAAAAAAAACATAAAGTTATAAAGTTGCAAGGAAAAATCGATGGAAAGCAGTAAATTCTTAGACAATCAGCGCTTGAGTCAGCTGTTGTGGCTACTTTTCCTTCTTTTCGGCGGCCAGCGAATTGTACAGCCGGTTGACCTCGTTGGCCACCAGATTGTCCAGAATGATGCCGTTGCTGTCGATGAAGGCGGCGCAGGACTTGCTGCTGATCTGCTCGCGCTGGCCACGCCCATCCTTGACGGACAGTGTGAGCAGGTACTTATCGTCGTACTTCTTCATATCGGAGCTGGCCTCCCAGATGCGTGGCAATTTGGCGCCGGCATCCTTCTGCAAAGCGACGACAAAGGTGCCCTTCTCGCGGAACGTTGTGTGGAGCGTGAGCACGCCCATCAGGGCAAAGTAGGCCAGCACGCTGAAGAGCAACACGGGCCGCGACTGCGGAAACGGATGGGTAAAGTCCCAGGCATGCGCCATAATGGCCACACCAACGGCCAGGGCGCAGAGCACCAGACGGGTGTTAACCAGGCCGAACTGTTCCTTCAACTGTGGCCGATCGCCCAACAGGCAGGTCTTGACCGCATCGTCCAGGGCATGCTTCACCGCCGAGCCATCCCACTTGTTGACTTTAACCAGCTGCAAATTGTCAAATTGTTGTTGGATCTCGTTTACATTAGGGACGGTGCCGACTGACGTGTTCAATTAAAACAAAAAAAAAAAAAACACCCAAATGGAAACCGGTTGCCGGAGGCGTCACTATGCCGGTCGGCGCTGTGCTGTACTTACCTCTTCAGCAGGCTGTGATTTATCCTCCTTTTTAGTCATTTAAGCTGATTTATTAAGTCAATTCGGTAAAGGTTTGGCTGGCAAGAACGAAAAAAAGACTTGTTTTTGCAATTTGACAACGCGACAGATATTCAGTGTTTAATACAGCGTGACCGCATACTCAGAAGTATTTTTTACCATATTTCGGTATTTAGTATTTTTTTTTTGCTGCTGTTAACGCTGCCATTAGGCTTCTCTGTTAAGTTCGATTTATCGATAAGCGAGACAAGTAAAAACAGACAAATTTAAATTTTGTCTTTCGTTGTAAAAAAAAAAAGAAAAAATTGTAAATATATTTATAAATAACAGAGTAGTATGGAATTTGTGTTGCAGTCTTACATAGACTTCATTTGCGCCATTAAATCTTCCAGGCTCGTCTCTGGCATACCGTCACCAGCAGCTGCATTGCCCGCCTGGTCTACGGCCTCCTTTTCTGGCGCCTCGTAAGCCAGACGCAGTCCGGATGCCACATTCGCAGTGTCTGCAGTTTTGGGCGCCTGTTCCGCGACTGGCGCATCATCAGCCACAATCTCAATGCCCCAGTCGTTGCTGGCATGCAGCGGCTCATCGGATACCTCCTCCACCTGTTGCACCACAGGTTTCGGGCATGCCTGGAACTCCTTCTGGCGCTGCAGACAATGCCGATCGTCGCACTGTGTATTCGGCTTGAGAGTCATCTTGGGAAAGAAGTCGTTCAGCGCATTGTAGCCTAAATAGTCGGAGACCTCGCCAAAATTAAGCAAATACTTGAGCGCATTTTGCACCAGCAAGCCCGCCGTAATGCCCATGGTGGTGGGCAGCGAGGCGGCGCAGACGCCCTCGCGTTTCAGCGTCCGCTCGTCAATGTTCTCGGCGACCACCAGCGGCGGCGCACAGGCAAAACAGGCCGTGTCGCCTGGACGTATAAACTGTATGTGGCCGGACACTGCGTTTTCGGATACGCCAGACTCAAACCAGTTCAGATTGTTCTCGTTGCAGGCCGCATTGATGGCCATGCGCGCCTCAAAGTTATCCACACAACTGAGCACCAAATCAACGGGCTGGCCCTGCTGCATGCCGCTCTCGGAGATCGTGCTGAGGAACTTGTCAAAGTTGTCCACGGTGGTTATGTTGTAGTTGTGCGTCTCAATCCGCACATCTGGATTGATAAAGCTGAGTGTGCGCGCCGCTGCTTCCACCTTGGACAGGCCAGCTTGGTCGGGTGTGAAGAACAATCGGTTCATATTGGCCAGCTCCACCTTGTCGTAGTCGAACAGTATCAGCTTGCCAATGCCACAGCTGTTGAATCAATGCATCAACGATATAATATGCTTTAGTAATCGCATTCCTCTTCCACTTTCGCTTACCGTGTCAACATGTCGGCAGTGACACTGCCAACGCCACCGACACCCACAATCGCAACCGCCTTGTCGCGTATGCGCTCATAGTCCTTGACTATGTTCATGCGCTGCAGCGCCATAAGGCGGCTGTACGGATTGGAATCGACGACCTCCGCGGACATGCGCTCAATCCGTTCACGAGCATTGCGTGTGCAGGTCTTCTGCTCCTCCAGCTCCGACTTCAGCTCGGCAATGATTGCCTGCAGCTCGTCAATGGCGGTTGACATATTGCGAACAGAAGGCACAAGTTGAACAAAACAAAACAAATCTAATGCTGGCTCCAAATCCTCGACCGTCAACGTTTCGGCTGTCGTCGTGTCACTTTCGCTAGCACAGCTGTGCGGCGTTGCCAGATGTTTTGCTTTCCCAACGCTGACTATCGATAGCGTGAGCGCAAAAATGCGATGGGCGCGCACAGAGCACGATATTTATTTAATAAGATATTTAGATAACAGAATTATTAGTTAAAATATTTGAATAAAGTTCTAGTGTACGATGGGACGCCATATTATTAAAAACAAAACGTAAATTTACTCGTGAATACATTATTGGCAAACTAAAATCATGTTATTTCAACATCGGGGCGAAATATTCCTGTAATCATTATTCTCACAGGCAGCAGTAACTTATCCTCCGCAAGTAATAATCTAAATATCTAAAATAACTTTTATCTGCATCAGTAATATAATTTCAAATTCATTATCTTCTTGACCTGCTCCATACCAAATAATTCTTTGCTTAGTGATACATGGCTTGAAATTATTTAAATTGGTAATCTTGTAAAAATAAATGCTATTAACTATTTTTTAATGTTATTCAATATCTCGGCAGCCAACATTTTAATTCCAGAGGCACGAAATGAAGCACATACCACGTCCACCTCTAGCACGTAGAGTTGCCCATGCGGTAAAAAAGAAGATCAAACAGGCGCGCAATTCAAAATATTACACCAAATATATTGTCAAAACATTATTCGTATTATTATTAAAAACACAAAAAAAAAAAATGATATAATTAATATTTGTTGCTGATGTTTTTGTGTGTATGTGTGTGTTACATGTTAAATTCAGCGCTTGAAAATTGCTACGATAAACAAATATTTATCAAATATCAATAAAAATTACATACTACGCTCTTTAGTAGTGTGTGTGTGTGTGGGGGGTGGGGAGGTGTTTTGTTTCTTGCTTGTATTATGCATGGAGTATTACTGTATAGACCGGGACTATCACTTGCAAATAAAGATATGCATAAGTTTATGATGCTGCCGTGCTGCCAGTTGTGGTCGCCTGTCCCGGCTGTCGCGGCTGGAGGCGCACGCGAAAGCCCTCCTCCCGCTTCAGTATGATGTCCGCCTGCAGCCTGAAGTCCGATTCGCTGAGGTCCGAATAGACACGATAGTTGCGCATGATGGTTGACAGCAGGATCTTCAGTTTCAGCATGGCGTATTTGCGACCTGTCGAATATATATGTATGTAATCTCAACTTAGTTCAGCGAATGAACTCTTCTATATTGTATGGATACTCACCCACACAGCTGCGTGGTCCTGCGGAGAAGGGCACAAAGGCATAATAGTGTCGATTCGCCTGGCGTTCGGGCAGAAAGTTGTCCGGATCAAAGACATTGGGATTGGTGTAGACCTTCGGATTACGATGCAGCAATATGGTGGCCACTGTGACTGTGGCGCCACGCGGTATAACATAGGGTCCCGAGTTCAGTTTCAGATCCTCCTGCAGCTCGCGTGCGATCAGCGGCACTGGCGGGAACATGCGCAGCGTTTCCATGAGGCAACGTTCCAGATATTTCATTTCGAGCGTATCTTGGAATGTGGCCGGTCGCTGGGAGTCACCAAAGATGCCATCCAGTTCGGCAATCACACGATCCTGTATATCCTGGTGTATGCCCATTAGCGACAAAAAGAACGAGGATCCAGCCGCCGTCGTGTCGTGTCCCTCAAACATAATCGTATCCACCTGCTCCTTGATTTCGGTGTCCGTAATTAGTGCTCCATTTTGCGCACTCTCCAGCATCAGATCGAGGAAGGCCAAACGTTTCTTCTCGCCAATATCATTGTCCTCCACGTCCAGATCGTCTTTAAGGCCAGCCGACTGGCCGTAGGAGAGGCCGGCGACGGGGCTGGCCAGCTCAACGGGCTTGACGCCGCCAGCTGGTGATCTCTGCTGCTGCTCACGCAGCTCCCGCTCCTCCTGCTCGAGGGCAGCCGCCTTCAGCTCGCTCTGTGCCAGAGAGCCGCGAGTGCCCTGCTCGAAGGCCGCCTTCTTGCTGCGTATGACCTTGGTGGTGAGGCCGTGAATGATGTTCAGCAGACGGCCCTGCTCCTTGTAGTAGCGGGTCAGCGTGAAGATGAACTCGTTGCGCAGAAAGATGCTGCGATGCCGGGCATGGAGTATATCGCACATGCGCATCACCGCCATTGCGTACTCAAATCCAGACTTGTCCTGGGTCTTCTTCGATACGCCCATTGCGGTTTCTGCAAGTGCAAGAAGATGGAAGACGGGGACCAGCGAAAAGAAGAGCCCCAGCTCCAATTAGCCCATAGCCAGTAGCATGCCACAATATTGCGAACGCAACGGGAATGGAAATGGGAATGGGTATGGGAATGGGAATGGGAATGAGATTGGAAGTGGAATGCACTCGACTGACCCAAGCGCCAATTAAACTTAACAAACATACAACGGAGGCTACGCCGGCTGTCTAATTGCAAATACAATGCATAAATAGCAATCGCTAAGCACACACACACACACACACACACATAGTCACACACACGTATATTATGAATAAACGAGCTGAGGTCCAGCGCCGGCCAACGGAGCGTATGCGTATTTTGCCCAAACATATTTGGAATGCCTATAGAAATTGATTTATTTGAAAACCAATCAAGTATCAATTTGAAATTTGGTATCTGGTATTAGCTATCATACAAGTATGACATATATCGTATACAGGTGTCATATTTACTTTCAGGTGATCAGGTCTCGCCCCAGGCAAGGAGTTTCAGTAGAGTTACGTAGGCTAGCTAAACTTGTATATATAATTGAATCGATTTCATGTTAGGCAACCACAAGAGTCCGGGCTCAAATCCCCGTCTATTTGTATGGCTGTGGCGTTCTCTGTGCCAAAAATCCATAACAAGACTAGGCTAGCAGCTTGTAACAATTTCCTATGCCTGCAATAATCATAATAAATCTCATGTTTTATGTAACTTTTGCATTAAAATCTGCATAGCGAAAACTTTTGGCGAACTTGTTATAGTTTTTACAAATCGAGCCCGTGGAAAATGGGTGAAAAGGCGTTAAGGCTTTTGTAGTAGACAGAAGGAAGCAACTCGGATCCCATGTTGCACACATGTGTACTTGATCAGGATTATGTCTGACAAAAGCTAGTAATCTGAATTTTGAAATATGTCATATATTTTCTCGCCCATTTGAAGAGAGTCTCGGGCGAGAGTCTTGAGAGTCTTTCAATGGAATCGGACTTTAAGCACCGAAGTAAATCAAGACTGCATCTCAAATAGATAGTGTGTGGGCCAAAGCAGGATGAATCACAGGATCAAGGAAGTTCGAGTTCGGGTTACCTCCAAGTCGTCCAAGTCTCTATTTCTGTGCGTCAAGCGGAAGTGAAAGCCTACTTTGCAGCCAGCTGATCTTAACTTACGACTTAATATTTGCAATTATACGTTTCTTAGAAAACTGGACTATTTGGCCGAGTTACGTATGCGATTGCATAGTTGAACTTTTGATTGATTTGACAATTCTTCCGCTAAGGCTGAAAACGGACTGTGCGTGTGCGAGGAGTGTTTGCATTGCGCAAGTGTGGAAATTCTGGTTTTTCCCCACTTGCTTTTCACCATTTCACTTTGGCCCACTGGCCAGTTGGCCCACAGGCCAGTTGGCCAGCTGGCTGGAAAAACTGGTAGCTTGCTGCAGCTGAATACTCCTTAAATATATGGATATATATGGGCGGGGGGTTATGCAATGCCAAACGAAAATGACATTTGAATTTCTTCTTGTTGTTGTTGTTGTATTTTTGATTCAATTTTCGCTACACGCGCCATATACGTATATATAAAAAAAAAAAAGCATTTCGCCAGCTCAAAAATGATTTGCACACATTTTTGTTTTTTTCATTTTCATTTTGGTTATTTTTATGTTGAATCTTAATTGCTAATTGCTCGTTTGCGTCAGTCGGATCTGGGCCTGGGGCCTGGGGCCTAGTCTTGGGTCTGGGTCTGGGCTTGGAGCTGGGGCTGGGGCTGGGCCTCGCTGCTGGCGGCTGTTGCATTCAAATTTTCCTGATTAAGCATTTAATGGCAATGCGACGTGATTTTAATTGCACTTGGCTAGCAGTTTGGTTCGGCTTTGCGCTGGCAATTTTCAGACGCGATGCGCGTTTTGGCTGCATTTCAATTATGGGGCGAAGGTGAGTGCCTGCCTTATGCAATGGCCCAGAAAACAATCGGCCAGCCTAGCACACAGTATTATATAGATATATGGATATATGTTTATATGTCTACATATATATATATATATATATATATATCTGTGCGACAATGTCATTAACATTTGCCAGACACTGGCGGGGTTTTCACTTTTAAGCCAAAACGTGTTTGGCCTTAAATAAACGACAGGCATTTGAATGGCACAGTTAGTGGAGCCTACGACCAGGCTTTAAACATTATAGCCCGGCTCAAACGTGCTAATGACTTTAGATATAAGTTATAGGCGCTAGAGCCTTCGCCAAGCCACATAGTGAAAGTCGTCAGAGCTGCCAAAGATCCCTGCGGTTCAAATGAGGGCGACTTCCCAGATAATCTTACCATTTGTATAAGCCTTGGAAATGGTCACAGGCTATAGAAAGTCGTCTAAGTAGCTTGAACGGCAATGTCTGTCATCAATCTATCATTCCAGTCCGAATGCCCCTTGTCTAGTTCCCTAGGCAAATCCTCTCTTAGCAAATTTCATATATGTGCAGGTAGAGTTCGGGTTAATGTATATGTTATCTTGCATAAGCAGGTTCACAAGCCAAGCCTTCAGGCAGAAAGCTGGTTCGAACCATAAACCGAAGCGCCGACAAATTTGCTTATGCTAGGCAGATGTACATCTATATTTAACTAGAAAGCTTCGATCTTTATTATCTTTGTGTACGGAGAATTCTCTGAGCTGCTGCTGAGTTAAGTGTTTGATGGTTAACTAAGGGGCAAAGCTGATAAATAAGAACCGTTCAGTTTTGGATAGCTTTATCAGGTATACGAATATTCACTAATTAGATTAGATAAGTTAAAGCCAGGTTTAAGAAAACAAGTCACAGTTACGTGGAATGAAATCTTGGCAAGTCGCAAAAGAAAGCACGTACTGGAAATCGGTCTATGCCAGTTGATGGTGGCTCATTATTCAAACTATATACGGATTAGTTGGGCATGTATTTGAAATAATTTGTGTGTGCCATTGTCTGAACTCACAAAGCACAAAAGCGGCAAACGGACAACAACAACAACTTTGTACACTTGTGCGAGTATATAGGGAAATGGGTCTGTGCTCAATTGTGGCATATGGCATATAGTAATCGCATATGTGATAGGTACACTTAGGCATGTACAAACACACACACACACACACACACACACACACACACACACACACACACACACACACACACACACACACACACACACACACACACACACACACACACACACACACACACACACACACACACACACACCCACATCCAATGCAGAAGAAAAAAGAAACTTAAAAAATGAATCGGAATTTGAATCTGAAACTGAATCCAAAACGTAGCCTGTCGCGCAGTCAATGCGTGTGAGTGGACTGTACCGACTGTGTCTCTGTGTGTCTGTGTGTGTTTGTGTGTGTGTGTGTGTGCGCGTGTGTCACTTACCCAATAGAATCTCCACAGTTGCCTCACTCATGTAATCATGACAATCAAATGTGCCACCAGCCTCCGCACGCAGTTTCCGCACCACATTGCGCGAGTTCTCGTTAAACAATTCAATGAAACTCTTTAAGACATTCAAATGGAATGTGGGTGCGATTAGTTTGCGATGAGCGCGCCACTTTTGACCTGATCGGGATACAGAAAAGAAAGATCACGGAAGGTTAGCCAAAAACCAAGAACAGAAATTATGAAAACAAAAACTAATAATTCAAGCGCAAGACTTTGGGACAGAGAATCGATAAAGGTATAGAGAGATTGGAATAATAATGTTAATACTTAGTATATGACCTTATTCAAGCTTGGAATACATAAAGGAAAAGAGAGAGAGAGAGAGAGAGAGAGAGAGAGAGAGAGAGGAATAAGTATGGAGAGCTTGGAATAATAGTTAGTATACATAGTAAAACTTGGGATATAGAAACAGAGACATCTAGTGTTGGAGAAATCGGGGTAAGATAAGTACAACCATAGTAGGATTCAAACTATTCAAGAGATATAGAAAATAATCAAAAGATGGCTAACGAAAATTGCCACCAAGTTGAGAGATAAGTAGAGAAAACAGCATGGAGAGATCGGAATAATATCTAAGATAAATAAAAGGAGCAGCATATAAAGCTCGAGGAATCAGTATAAGAAAATATCAACTAAGATTCTATTTTTATATGAAAAGAGAAATTCTTAAAAAATAAAGAAAAACACATTTGATAGATCAAAGAAACAAATTGAAAATTGAAATAACATATAAAAAGATGAAGCCTGGGCTAGACTGATTGAAATGTGAAAAGATCTAGCCGCAGTCATAATATGGATAATCACACGATATATGATACATCAAAAGTTAAATGAGACAAAGAAAGAGATAGTTAAGCCTGGGGCGTTGGGCGAAAGAGATGGCAATCGCACACAGCAAACAGTTGCTGCTCTGTGTTCGGTTTCGTTTATTTATAGCCGCCATTTGTTCGGCGTTGTTGTGCCAACTGTCAGGCTTACAAATCGTTTTATTAATTTATGATTCCATAAACGCAATTTAAATTGCATTAGCTAGTCCAGAGAGTGGCACCGAACCAACCCATCAACCAACCCCACGACGACTTCTGCTCGAATAGGGTAATAGAGTGCGGAGTAATACTCACCTGTGCTAATGAGTAGACCATCGCCGAGCCAGGGCTTGAAGAACTTGTACTCGGATGCCTTATCGATGTAGACGTGGCTGCTCAGCAGCAGCTCCACATCGCGCGGATCATAGATGAAGACGACCAGCTTGGGACCGATCCACATTTTGGCGATATGCTCAAAGGGTGTGCTCTTGCGTATGACTGTTTTGAAAACAGCTGAAAACAGGATACAGAATTGTAGCCAGACAAACAGACAGAGAGACATAGAGAGAGAGAGAGAGAGCGGGAGCGGGAGAGAGAGTTAGGTGGAAGTTGGGACAGTGGGAACCTACACGAAGCGGGTCCAATCACATCAAACAAATGCCCCACAATGGGCAACCCACGCGGGCCCGGCAGGCGCGCCGCCAATCTGTAGAGATGAGCACGAGACAGTCGCCAATAGGTATACCAGAGCACCAAAGTGGGCAGCAGCAGCAAGTAGAAGACGCTGCTGGGCGAGCCTAGGGCGGCGTCTTTCTTCAGCACCTCCATCGAGGTGGCGGGAGTGTAGCACACGCGGTCAAAAAAAAAAAAAAGAACCCAAAAAAAAATAACAAATATCAACTGTAGTTGAATCGTAAACGCACGCCACACGCCACGGCGGGCACCACAGCACTAAGAACGAAGGCGTATGCCACGGGAGACGTCTCGACTCGTAGCTCAAAACATTTCAATGCGCGCCGTGAGATTCTTTTTCTTAATTTTTTGTTGTTGTCTTGTTTTGCGGATGCTGCGGATGCTGCGGATGCTCGTCGCTGCCTGTCCGCCGCGATACTGATAAAAACTGGCCTGGCAAAGCGTCGCGCGGCTGTGCTCCGGGAACAGCAACAAAAATGATAGTAGTAATATTAATAATAATAGTAAGCAAATAGGACAGACAAAATCACAGCAACAATGAGCACAAACACGAGCAAAACGGACGCGAAATGCAGCACACACACAAAAAAAATAAAAAATACAAAATAAAATAATAAAAATACAGTATAAAAACAAATTATTCAAATGAAATGGGATATGGTCGGCCCGACGTCGCACGCTTCACGCTCCGCGCTGTGACTAGCCGCCGCCGCCAGTGCGCCTGACTTTTATAGCCAACAATGTGGCAAACGGCAACGAACTGGCGCTGCCAGACGCTGCCAGACAGGACGGACGGACGGACGGGCGGACGGGCGGACGGGCGGACAGATAAACAGACAAACAGACAAACAGACAGACCGAGCGATGCACACAGTGTCCACACAAAGGCGGTCAAACGGGTGGCCATTTGAAATATGTCCAAGCCGCCATTTAAAGCAGTGCATGCAAGCAGTGCCCGCAAGCAGTGCAACGGCTTGCACAGCTTTGAAGCTTTCGTGCGCCATATAACATTTAAAGCTTTGCCCGGCATTGCCAGTTTCCGCTTAATTGAAGTCTTTTTTGTTTTGTTTATTATGAATATTGGACATCAATGAATGATTATTTTTAGTAATTGTTACCTAATAATTAATAGTTTCTTAATTTATAAAAAAAAAAAAACGTATCCATCACCTTTTGCCATAACGAGTATTGCAGCCTAATTGTTGCTAATATACGAGGCTCGACCAATAAATTGCATTGATGCAGGCAGAGAGGGTACTATGAGATACAGAGAACATCTTAACAGCTAACAGCTAACAGTTAGCAACAGCGCATAAAATCGGCTGACTATATCATATGTCCGTTAAAGGAACAATCGGTGTCTCAAAGGGCATTTAATCTTTGGCGTGCCGAAATAAGCCCTATTTTCCTGAAACTTTTCACTTTGTTATGCATCTTCGAGCGTGCTTGTAATTTCTTGACTAGACAATAGGTCAACAGGAAAAGCCAGGTGGGAGGGGCTGCACAGATGCAAGTTAGGTTTCCATCTGATAATACAAATCTCAGATCGATTTCCAGCTTGAGTAATTGTCAAAGACGTGTGCTTATTGATCGACCCTCGCATGTGTATGCGACCACAGTACGTATGAGCAATATTATTGCCCAGACATTTACAATTAATTATATTTAGAAATTAGCTTATGGAAGTCGTTGGCTGGACAACACTGGACAACAGGGCATCCGATTCCCATTGATATACATACATACAAATCGATGAACAATTATGGGAATAACAACAACTAGATATTGTGTGAAGCCTAACTAACATAAGTACAAGATTTCATCTATTATATGATATTTGGTTTTGTGCCTAGCTCTAGAAGTATGCTGTGAGTTTTTCTTCCGCCTCACTCTTCTTGTCGCCGAAAAGTGGAAGCTCTTTAGACGGATGACTCGTAGATGACAATTTGCAACACCTTGGGCTTGCTATTCTGCGCCTCCTTCACCTCCTTGAGTATGGCATTCGTGATGGCCTCCAGTGCGGCAATATCCGAATTGTGCTCGCTCTTTTTGTTGCTGTTCCACTTGGGCATAGACACCTGTGTGTGTGTGTGTGTGTATGTGCGGGCATTCATTATTGAGAAGGCAATTAGTTGACGCTCTTCACTTACGGTTAAGACCTTTTGCAGTGTTGCATAGTCAAGGCCCGTTCCCGCTGTCTCGCCCAGGCGACGTAATGTCTCAGCCATGGGACCGGAAAGTTCCTGCAATGCGTCGCATAGCATGAGTGCAGCTTAACAGCTTAGCAGGTAAGCACTTACCTGCAGCTTGGCCCAGCTGGTCGCGTACTGGCGACGCACCAGCTCAATGATAGTGGAGGTTAGGGCCAGGCCAATGAGTATATAGAGCGTGCAGAGCAGCATGTAATTGGGTTTCTCTGTGGAGAGCAGGATAAGAAAACATATCAATAAGCTATTGCAACCGGCTGATTCTGGCTAACGCACTGGGCACCAGATCACCAAAGCCAATCGTTGTCATTGTTATGAAACAAAAATAGAAGCCATCAAAGAATGTCCAGTCATCCTCCCAGAGCAGCAGCAGCCCGGCACCAGCGGCTAGATAAACGCCTAGAAATCCAACGGCCAGAATCGCATAAAACCACGTCTTACCGATGAAGTTCGTGAACTTCGGTTTCGCTGTAATCGATAGACATTAATCGAATCGATAGCAACACAAATCTTAAAACGGTCTACTCACTGGGCATATGCGTGCCAAACACGGACACAGCGCTGGCAAAGAGCCGACCCCAGTCGGCAATGACCGTCAGTGTGAAGGGTATTCCAACAAGTGCAAAGCAAATGCAAAAGACGCGACCGCTGATCGTTACGGGCACTATATTGCCATAGCCTGTCATAATAGAAGGTTCCAAAATAAGTACGGATTTTAGTATTATACTCGCGACACACCGCACCACTTGCTATGCCTCTACTCAATAGCCGCACCAGTAATTGAGTATTTTTGAGAAGAAAAAAAAAACGAATTAAAATAGCAGCACAGAAAACAATCGCAATTGCAATGCTGTTGATAGAATTCAAAGCAAACGCGCATGAATGTGTGTGTGTACATGTATACAGAAATTTTTGGAATTTGCGCATGGACAGACAGACGGACATGGCTAGATCGACTTGGCTATTGATGCTGATCAAGAATATATTTACTTTATGGGGTCGGAGATGCTTCCTTCTGCCTGTTACATGCATTTGCACCCTTTTTACCCATTTTCAATGAGTTCAGGGTATTAAAACGCGCCTAGCGTATATATATAAACAAAAGCTAAGTTCGACCAGATCGCAGTCGAGGCTAAGTACTATAATAATAGGATTAGTTCTTTATTTAGCAAATGCAGATGAAGTTTATTTAAGATTATTTAAATGGAGTAGTTGACTAAAGTTTATTGCTTACCTATGGTGGTTAACACAGTTGATGAGAAGAACACAGCTTGCAGTATGCTCCAGCGCTCATAGGGCTCTGGAAAGTCTTTATCGGCTACGATAAGCAGCCCGCCCTCGGCCGCCTGCTGTACGGCCTGTGGAGGTTAGGGAAATAACAAATATAAATTAATTAAAATCTATACATTATTCAAGTGCGCAATAGGAACTCATTAGGAAGCAGTCTTTCCCTGGCTTCACACTATTGGAAATGCAGTCGAGATTAACTTCAGCCTTTACTGTTCGATCTTTATATACTTATCAGGGCTTAAACATGGGATACAAAAATGTCTAGCAAAACGTAAAGCTCTAGATATATCGAGAAAAGCTCGTTTTATACATTTTATATATATTTTAGATTCTTAGCCTTTTGCTTTTATAGACAAGCGCATCGTCCCAAACAAGATTTGCTTCTCTCTTTACACAAAATAAGTTTAATTCTGTAGTATGCACAGTGTTTTAGCTGGAGTTCAGCTAGAACTTACCGCTTCATATTTGGCCAGCTCAAAGGCGAGCAACTCGTTCAGATTGTTCACCTCGGTGTTATTCAGTATGGTGCTCATGAAGCGTTCCCGCTGGGTTTTGACCACATCCTTCAGCTGCGTTAGGCGCGCCACCTCCGCTGGCCGCTCCAAGTGGCGAAAGATCTGCGTTAACAATATGGAGACAAATGGGGGGCAATTGCAGATTACAAGGTTACGCTGCATTAGCATTTAATTAAAGTGTGTCGCATAATAAATGGCACACAGAGCATCGCATACGGCGAATGGTCTGATGAGATGAGACGGGCTGTGCGGGGGCATGATGATGGCATCGCCATGGCTATGACAGAGTCGAGCCCAGCTTATGCAATTTATTGGCATTTGATTGATGGCCAGGCCAGGACTATGCACATTGGTATCCCTTTCTATGGGTATATACTCTATGCCCATAAAAATGTATCAATGGCCAACATCAAATTCAGCAATTGCTTGTAACATATTTCAATATTTGCTTGTAACTTTTTAACAAACATAAGCGTATCTCGATAAACCAAAAGACCAGGCATTTTTAACACTCGAACACCCAAACAAGAAACATTCAAAGATAGTTTTGGCATTACCAAGCCTGTTAAAAACTTAACATGAAGTTGGAAACCTGTCAAATTTAACTTCTTGGTAAAATTTGATGACTACTCCACTCCATTTTTTCAACATTTGACCACCAGCTGGCAAACATCCAAGCGACATGTAGCGTAACGTGCCTGTTAAAAAATTAACATGAAGTTAACATGTTAAAAGTTAAATATGTGTAGCACGCAGCTGCAGTTGCTAATAAATATTCAATTTTGCTCATCTAATCTGAAAGTACAAGACGTTTTGCATAAGTAAAGTCTATTTGTAGGGTATTTCGAAGCTGTGGTCACCGAATTGTTATTGTTGTCGCTGGCAGCGAGCATCATTAAGTCAAGTAAGTGGCATTTGCGATGGGTTCATTAACTCTTGAGTGGAGGAAATGCAAGTTTTAATGCCAGCTCGGTGAGTCAACAAGTCTTCGCATGTTTTTGCAGTGCGCGTGAACATCTAAATGTAACATAATGTTCAAATTGTATATTCAACACAGCTAAGTTTTCCTTGACCTTAACCATTGTTATGAACACAAAAAAAAAAGCATTAAATGAATGCAATTCAATTGAACAATAAGCAATAAGAAATTTTCCCCCCATGGTTTCGGGCATTGAGTTTTGATTTTTGATGTTCGGGTCTAAAGGTTTTCCAAAAAATAGAAGAAGAAAAAAAACCCGAAATATTCTCTTAATTTTTCACACATCATCGCAATGAATTTGTTGAACGTCTAGTACGCGCTTTTGCTTAGTTCTTGTTATAAAAATAGTTGCACAAATTGATTTGTGTTTTACTTTCAACACCAAAAGAACAACATCCAGAAATATACGTGTATATGGTATTTACGATATGTCTGCCATGTACATACATATATATATATATATATACGTGGATCCGAAACCGAATTCGCATTCGAAATTCAATTGAAATGTGTCCGCAATTTCTCTTCTTCGCGCCCAACGACTTGTATTAAGTGTTCCACGCTGCCAACCAGCGACAAGATGACCCCATGGAAAAATACACTTGGCCAGCAGCTGCGTCTTTGCATTTGCCGCAGACAGAAACACTGTCCAGCAAAGTTGTGCACACAACTAAACGCACGTGCTTATGTTAAACAAATTATTGTAAATACTTATAAACACATATATATTTAATATTTAGGCACAGAAATAGACAACACTGCCCAACATGAATTAGCTCGGAAATAGGTATACACTTTGAGTTTTCAATTATATATCACAATTTCAAAATATTCGCAGCATTAATGAAGGATTTCTTTTAAACAATATAAATGAATCACAAGATATGTTAAGTAAAAAAAGAATACACTTTTATGTTTGGAAAAAGTGTGCACACATCATTTTTGCAGTCATGCTCAAATTTTATGCAACCATAATCCATTGCCCCTTTTTCCCGCCGCGTGCCTCCTCTCACCCACAATCAAATTTTGACAGCAGCTGCAACTGTGAAGTTTTTAAAGAAAACGAGAAACTGGGGATATATTCGGCACGCCGAAGATTTAATACCCTTGTGAACATTTGGCTTTTGGGACATGTGAGCACAGTGTAAGCACTGAGTTTTATGGATGAAAGCTTTAACTAAGAGACTGGAATATATATATTTTATGGGATCGGGGATTTCATGACTTAACTATAATACCCTCTACAAGGATATAAAAATACTGCATGAAAAGCTTTGAGTTCCGCATATACATTCAAATATTTGATTGTTCTTTTTAACGTTTAGAAATATATTTGATTTTATTATTTCTACAATTTTTTAATTTCAATCTTTTTACAATTTTATAGAAGTATATATATATATAATATAGTATATATTAATCAAAACGAGGCCAGAAAATTTGTGAAAACTTTGCATTTGGCTAAACTTAAATATTGGGCTTAAGCCGAACTAAATTCGGCAACTCCTTACAAACATTTCTTATACCGAAATGAAAACAATCAAAAAGGGAGGGGAAAACAATAATAATGTGAGTAAAAATAATAAAATTAAAGATTTTTTGTTATAGTAGGGTAAAATTAAGAGAACTGCAAAACATAGCTAAAGTTGATTTTGGGCACAATTGAACACTTAAAATGTTATGCGGGAGACTTGTTGTATTATTAAAAATAAAACGTATTTAATAAAGTAATTTAAAATGAAAATAGAGTAGAGAGTTTGCCTTAAAGCAGAAACCAACAATTCCACAAAATGATGATTGGTAGAAATTAAGTCTCGCTGCTGCTCAGTGCAATTATCGTTCGTCCTTGCACATGGTTTATGATAATTTGGGAACATTTTCGCAAAGCTACGCAATTGTGTAATTAGCTCTGGTTCACTCAACCAAATGATGGCGACAACTTGTCCCAGTTCAAAAGTTATTCACACTAATCTATAAGTTCTGTCCATGCCAGTCATGGGCAAGGACACGCACAGCGGCATCATCGAAAGCAGCAGCAGCAGCAGCAGCACGCAGCAGACAGGCGTTAAATCAACTTTAGAGCTTCTGACGGGTACGGGTCTCCCCCCTCCCTCTCTCTCTCTCTCTCTTGGTCCAATCCGTGACCGTACAATGCGGCGTATACGTAATGCTTATAACAATTTCGTGTCGTCTCAGTGGGGTCCGTCCGTTGGCATGTCCGTGTGTTGTTTTTGTGCTTGCGCATAAATTTTAATTATTAATAGACAGACTTTGGTTAAGATGCGACACGCAATGCGGGAATCAAGGTTAACATCCTAACAGATATGCGCCGTATATATATATTACAAAAAGGTGTTTGGTCAGTTTATAAAAAACTATATTAACAAACTCTGACTGATTGATTGACTGATTGATTGATGATCAAGCCAAGTCATAAGAGCACTTTATGTAATGCAAGTGAAGTGAAGTTGGAAAATTCCACCTGTGCCAGTGGAATATTAGTGGATAACTGCTTTGTGAAACTTATAATATAAATCAAACTTTTATTCAAAAATCGTTATGAAAGTTCATTGAAGAATGTCTTACAGTTTTTCACAAAGTGCACAAAGCTTTCTACGTAAAAAATGCTGCTCGAAGGTTGTTTCGGGAAAAGTTTAATGTACTACTCTACGTGGAAAAGTGCTTCAAAGATCAGGTGGAGAAAAGTGTGCAGCAAACTTTGAATATAACTTTTTGCTTATCATCGACTTCAAACTACCTTTTAAATATCTATTAAGGTTAAAAGTAATGTTGTTAATTTGATATATTTGATACTATTCTAATAGAACAGTATATTACAAGTCACGCCTTGGTTGTAGGCCCTAAGCAGTGACTGTGATATTTGGCGCAGCACTGGAAGCTGAAGGCTGTCTGGGAAGGGCTTAGAACACTTGTCAGAGCAAGTGTCAGTCCATTTGCACGCCATAAATCACATGCCGCACGCAGAGCCACGCGCAACAATTGCCACACGGCAGCTGGGCATAAAGTGCTCCATTGTCACCTGGCCTGTTTGCAGCTACTTAGCGGCTTACGGCTAACGGGGCAGCTGGCATAGTAACTGGGCAAACTGTGTATACCTGTTTGGCTAAGCTGATGAACACTGGGCGTATGCTTCATATTGCGTTGTTATTCATTTTCATTAGAAAGCAACAACAACAACAACAAAAAAATGCACACATTGGGTATTCCGCGCACTTTGTTGTTTTTAATCATAAGCGACAGCAGCAACAACAACAACAACAACAATTATGTCCAGCTCAATTTTTTTTCATTAAAAAAAAAGTAAAGGGAGTGAAAAAGGAATCCTGTAAATACTTTTGCTGCTGCTATTCTAATAATGATGTGCGGCCCATTTAGCGGGTGATAATTCATTTCCGCTGCTGTCTCCGGCTTGCGGGCTGAAAGCGCCCAAAACCAGGCAGCCCCGAAAATGGATTGCTTATGTGTGTGTGTGTATGTACATGAGTTGGCATATTTGTTATGGGCGTGAAAGCAATAATGTAGCAGCAAGTCAGTTAACATAGATCCTGATATATGAAAGGGTATATATCAGTATCCATGTGCATAGGGAAATACAAAATTGTCCAAGGATCATATACGATGTACAAATGCTTGCATTTGGAAAAACATAAGAACTTCTCAGTCAGCATAAAATGTCTTAAATATAAATACAAATTTCTGCAAGCTCAGTAAAAATGCTTAGCTTTAACATATACAAACTTTTTTTTGAGTGTGCAAAATGAACAGAAATGTGAACAAGCTCTTGTTGTACTTAATGCTAGCGCACACAAAAAGCTGCCTGCAGCTGAATCGGGCATAAGATTATATAAATTGATAGTTTTATATTTGAAATTAGTTTCGGGTGTTGCCGGCCTCCAGCGACAGCAGCCGTTGCCTTAGAAACAGCAACAAGCAAAGTGACGTAGTTCAACAAGCCTTGGCCACAAATGACCTTCAACCAAGATGAATATTGTGTTTGGGTCTAGGATCTAGGTTCTCTAGGGTATGGTTCTAGGCCCTGAGCAGTGAAACCAAACCCGAGTCGCCTGCCAAAACGGAAGCGCGGTGTAAATGCGAAAATTAT